AAAAAAAAAGACTCCTAAGGGACAGTCTGAGTCTTTTCAAACATTGTGTCATTTGCATCATCACTTTTAAAGACTGAAGGTAGGGCTGGGCATGGTGACCATGCCTGTAATCCCAGCAATTTGGGAGACTGAGGCAGGCAGATCACCCGAGGTCAGGAGTTTACGACCAGCCTGACCAACATGAAGAAACCCCGTCTCCACTAAAAATACAAAATCTACTAAAAATACTAAATTAGCCTAGCCGAATCTGCCCTGGTGGTGTGTATAGGGCACCCTCCATTGCAAGAGGCAGCTATATCAAGAATTCTAGCAGAAATACTGAGTGTCCATAAAGTTGGCTGTGTTGAGTGTTGCCCACAGCAACAGCAATGCTGCCTGCACCAGATGAATTCTTTAGTGTGATTTAGACACACCTGCAGCATACCTCTGAGCCTCTCTCAGGTCTTCTGGAGATTCCAGCAACTACCTGAGCCCCTTATATAAAAAAAAAATCACTTCATGCTGTGTGTAGCTAAGAACTGAACAACTGATTAGCTGTGGGGAATTTGCTCATGGTCACCCACCTGGGAAGGGGCTCACTAGAACCCAGGGCTCCAAAGCTCTTGCTCTTTCCATATAGTTGCTTCTAGATGAGGCTGAGTCATCCAAGGATTCAACCAAGTGCTCTGGAATCTTGGAGAAAGTAGAGTTGTCTCCAACTGCAGGTATCCCAGAGACATTGTGATTTGGTGAATGTTAATGAAGGGGTATTGGCTGGGAGAGTGGCTCATGCCTGTAATCCCAGCACTCTGGGAGGCCGAGGTGGGCAGATCACTTGAGGTCAGGAGCTCGAGACCAGCCTGGCCAATATGGTGAAACCCCGTCTCTACTAAAAATACAAAAATTAGCCAGGCGTGGTGGCACATGCCTGTAGTCCCAGCTACTTGGGAGGCTGAGGCAGGAGAATGGCTTGAACCCAGGAGGTGGAGGTTGCAGTGAGCCAAGATTATGCCACTGAACTCCAGCCTGGGCAACAGAGCGACACTCCATCTCAAAAAATAACAATAAAAATAAATAAATAAGTGGTGGGGGAGTATTTAGAAAGAATCTGGGAGAATGGGTAGGATGGTTCTAAATAAAGTTTTGTGTTTTTTTTTAGTTGAAACGCAATACACACACACACACAGACACACAAGCACAGCTTTGAAAAAATTGACAACACCCATGTAACCAGCATGAAGATGAAGAAATAAAATATGATCAGCCTCCCAGATACCATCCTTTTCCTCCTGCTCTGTTCACCTCTGACAAAGGTAGCCACTCTCTTGGCTTCTACCATCCTAGAACTTTTCCTACAGGCCGAATAATACAATGTCAATTCTTCTGTCTCTGGTTTCTTTCTTACAACATTGTATTCATAATATTTATTCTTGTTGTCACGTGCAGCTGAAGATAATTAATTCTCCTTGCAGTAGCATTTCACTTTGTGAGTATAACTCTGTTTTATGTATCCATTCTGCTGCCTGATGTACATAAAAGTTGTTTCTACTTTGGGTCTGTAATGAATAGTGCTACTATGAACGTTTTGGTGATTGTCCAGTGGTGCTACTATGAATATTTTGGTGATTGCATATGTGTTTCTGTTGGGAACATTTCCAGAAGAGTAATCACTAGGTCATAGGATATGTGTGTATTCAGCCTTAGTCAACAGAGCCAAACAGTTCTCCAAAGAGTTGTACTAATTTACACTCTCACTACCAATGTATGAGAATTCCAGCTGCTCCTCGTCCTTCAGTAACACTAGGATATCTCCAGAATCTTTAATTTTAGTCATCCTGATACGTGTGCCATGGTCTCTCACTGTGGCTTTGATTTGTATTCCCTGATGACTAATGGAATTGATCACTTTTCATAAGTTATTGGCCAATTTAATTTCATCTTTTAAGAAGTTACTTTGCAGCCTATTTTTTTGTTTTACTTTTTTTTAATATGAAGTCTCGTTATGTTGCTCAGGATGACTTTGAACTCCTGACCCGAAGCAATCCTCCTGCCTCAGCTTCCCAAGTAGTTGCAATTACAGGCATGAGCC